GCGAGAAATGACATACATAAAACAAAAGAAAAGACCGAAGTAGAGAGAGAGAGAGACACAGAGAGAGGTGGAGCTTTGATTGAGTAGAGTATCCTAGGGGATATCCTGTGAAGTATAATTTGCTTTGGGATGAAACTGTTTTGGCTAATTTAGTCAGGAGATGACAAAAATAGTATAATATATAAACTCAAATTATTTAGGAATAAGACGAGTTATTCCTGAAAATCATTTAAACAGATAGTTGAATCGTTGCCAGAGACCGAAAGTTAAATTAAGATAAGCAACCATCCTTAATTCGTTATCTGCAAAAGCCTTAGCTCTTTTAGATTTCTTATATATTATATATATATACATAGAAACACGCCTTCAGTAACTATTCTAATGACTACAGGGTATACAAATAATCCAAGACACTCTCGAGCCGGGAAGTACTTAGAGTCAAGCAGCGCAGCAAAACAGCTGAAGGAGCCTGCAGCAGGGATAGGGCAATGAGATTGAGCAGGAGACTAGCGGGGGTAACAGTGGGGACGTGGGGCTTCCCCTGAACACCCGGCGTACTCAAGTGGCGGCAGAGCACTTCAAGGAGATATTTTCAACACACTTTGGCTTCGACAGCAACAGCAACAACAACAGCAAGAGCAACAAGGACAATGGGCGCTAGGCATTTGCAACTTAATTGCAATGTGTGAGGTGTGCGTATGTGTGAGTGTGTGTGAAGGTGTTGTGTGTAGAGGGGCGTGGCATGTGCTTTGCATTATGCATGAGGCGCCGACACTCGGGCGGCCCGTCATAATCATTTTGTGAGCTGCCTTCTATGCGCTAATTGCAATTAAACAATAATATGAATGTAAGAGAGGACATACGGTAACAGTGAGAAAGAGAGGGAGAAAGAGTGAGAGAGATGGAGAGAGCGTGACTGAGTCTAGTGGAAATTTGAGAAAAATTCGTTTAGAAAAGTGAAAAGGGCGCGTAATTGCGTCGCGCATGTCGCGCTTAACGCAGCAAAAGGCATTTAATTAAATGTTAACAGCAACACGAAGCAACAGAAACAACAACAGCAACAGCAACAGCAACAAACAGACAATTAACAAGGCCTAATTGTTGTTGCTGTTGCTGTTGCTGGCGCTGTCTCTTCGAGTCGCATTTGTTGCCTTTGCCATTGTCTGCATGTATTTGCATATCATTAACCTGAGCAATAACAAAAACTCGCCCTCTTTCTCGCACTCCTGGAGTGCATTACCAACACTCGCAAGACGCGAGTCAAGAGTTGCTCAAAGGAAAGCGGGCTGTAGGCCATGTATTTATTTGCCAACAGCATTGTCATCGGCATCTCAAATAGTCAAAGAACAATTTTCGGATAAATTAATACAATTTGTCGCTATCATGTAATAATATGAATGCTAGTCCAGAAAACTTATACGCAATTCTAAATAAAACATGTTATGTTAATTTGTTTATTAGACATATGGAGTGGAGGCATCGCTGATAAATAAAAAATTGTGGAGTCGTAAATTTCTTATCTTTATTAAAAGAAAGCTGTGCTCTATTCTAAGAAGTATTTGGTAGATGCTTATGTATAATTAGAACCTAAAAACTGTACAAAGGAGAAAATGTGTCACGCAAGAAGCCAACAGTAGGAGAACTGGAGTGGGGAGTTATGCTACTAACAGAGCATATTACTGTTGATAACATATCGATGTGTGACTATGTATAAAATATATTTTGCACAGCAGATTCTCAGCTAATCAGACACTGAACCAAGTTTTAATTTATGCTCTAAACTATATCTGATTTAATACACACTTAACAAACGCTTTGATCATTTTGCTGTCTTTAGCCAGAGGCTGGCCGCAGTGACAGTGATAAAGCGTCATTAAGTAGCGCACTTTCTAGCTGGGGTGCTGCACGCTTTGTGGCCCGGTGGAAAGTGTGTTTTATAACAGCCCGTAAAAGCGGCCAGGACAAATATTTAAGCAGAGCGCAAAAAACGAGTGATGGGGTGTCAGGGGAGGTGAGAAGAAATTGTGGAGAGTGGCACTGCTGTTCACGTTTATCTAGTCCGAAACACAGGTCGGGGCAAAATTGACAACTCAATTGCGAAAACTATTTACACGCAATTAGGCGAAATGACAGGGCGCCACAGCTCACGGCAAAGTTGTCAAGTGAAATGCGAGCAAAGGCACATAAAAAGAGGTATGACAAAAGGACGACCAGGCACACTCTGGCTGACTGGCTGGCCACCTTCCAGCTGCTCCGCTGAGTCTCGAGTGTAAATATTGACCAGGCCCGACCAAACTATGGCACAGGCAGCGAGCAGCCACCGAGCAGCAGGAGCCCCAGCAAGGCGGCAGAGCTCATTCATAAATGCATTAGCTAGCTGTCAGGCAGTGCAATCGAATTCATGTTGGCATTAAACGTAAATTATGCAGTCCATGAATTTAACATGGCTGAGCAAACCACTCGGACACCGACCACCAACCACCAACCACGTACGTCCGTACGTACGTACGTACGAATACTTGTCAAGGTGACTGTAAACGGATTCTGTGTTTATTACATGAGCCGCATTTCAATATGCCAAGGACATGGGCTTTAAACTTGCATAACGTGTGCGACGCTAATAATATATAATGGTAAATATTAACCGGCTTTGTCCGGTCAATGTATTTTGATCTTGTTTATTTTTAAGTGAGGAGGGGCATATTCGTTGTAAATCAAATTTCGGTTTTTGATGAACAATCTAAGGACATGTATTACAATCAAAGGGTAAATGATTGTGGAGATAACTGTAGCACTTTTAAATAAGGCGAGACTTATCTAAGTAATTGAAATTTTAATTTTAATTGCAACTACATATGTGTTTCTCTTTTAAAAGAAGTCTTCATTGGGCAAATTATGTAATTGCTACCTAATGTATAGGTAGTGCTAGTATATAGTGAAATGTAGAGGAAGGAAAGTTTCAAAAAGTTTTTCTCCAACTTTCCAATTTTCTTTGAGTCGGCTTTCTTTGCCTGGGAAAATGACCAACTGCCATGCAGCGTACAGAGGCTACAACATTTTAGGCAGCATGTTAGTCCTCAAAGAGTTCACACACCTATATATGTATCTATGTATATACATATAGAGTGAATATATATTGCATCTAACACTCGACTTATTTGTGTTGCATGCCGCCTTGTGACCCAGTTACGTCTTGTTGTTTGGCCTTGAGCGACAACTTGTACAAACTTCTCCTAGCTCTGCAGTTGTCCTCGCATTGCAGTTGACATTTGTTCACACATACACATACACACACACACACACACTCAAACACCCGCAATCACTGCACGTGTGTGTCTGTGTGTGTGAGTGTTTGTGTCTCTTGGGTTGGCCCTTTTGCATGATTTAAAACTATTTAACTTCCTTTGGTCTCTTCTCGTGAACTCTCGTATTTTCTTGCTTTGCTTTGTTTTGTTACGCTTTTTGACATTTTGCGCTGTGATTTCCCATTTTGCACCTTTTATTCTGAGTGGTTTTACGAGTACCAAACCCCTCAGTTTCAGCCCCGTGTCCTCCGCTGACGCTCTGCCTGCCTAACTAAAAAATTTATGAGTTTTTTAACCTTGCTGCAAATGCCAACAACTACGTAGAAAAACAAAAAAAGATAGAAGAAAATACCAAATTTTGCTGACAAGTCCAAATGCTCGACGGGTTGCCCCTGTACAAAAGTTGATGTGCATCTCTCTTACTCACTCGCTACCTTTCTCTCTCTCCCACACTTCCCGTGTGTCTGTAAATTGTTAATTACTATTGTGATGCACATTGTATTTTTGTAGGCCAATTGCTACCAACAGCAGCGGCAATGCGGAAAGATATGCTGCAAATGCGGCGTATGCGTAATATTTTTTGTTGGCTTACTTTGACGTTCCGCATAAATAGCGGGCTTAAGAGATTGCTGCACACACATATGAATGGGAATATATATGTGTATATGTGGTTACGGCTTTGTATGAAATGCTTAAGTGTATAAGGAACAATTGCAGCTCGCTTCATTTGCATTAATTAAATTAAATGTATTTGAGATAAAAATACTGAAAGAGAGTGAACAAATGACTAGAGTAAAGACATAAAAAAAGTAACAAATTAAAGCAAGAGAAGAAGGTTTATCACAATTAATTTAAATATAGTTATAAGATAAATAAAATGCATATTTATAAAGGAATTTTTAATTAAAAAATTATGATAATGAACTATATATAAAGATAAAAAATAGATATAGGGAGATAGGGAGAGTAACTGAGAGAGAGGAATACTCCGAGAGAGCGATGGAGAGAGAGAGAAGAAAGGAGAAAGAAAGATAAATAAAAATGGAGAGTGAGATTGAGAAAGATAGTGATAGTGAGAGAGGAATAGAGGGAGAGATAGAGAGATACATCAAACAAATAAGAATTTTAACAAAGACTAGATTTAATGCATATGTATTTATGAATTGAAATTATTGATTCCCAAAAATGTGTTCCAATTAAATTTGGCAATTTCTATTTAAATTTTCATTTGATTGAAGATCTCGTCATAACTGATTGGAAAAACAAGAGTAAAGTTTGCACATAATAAAATTGAATTGATTTGTTATTCGTGTTGCACACGGCCAAATTTGAATGAATTGTAAAATGTGCAAGCTCTGTATAATTGTCCGTTCCGCACTGCAAATGCATATAGAGGATGGATGGCTCGCATCTGTGCAGCAATTCAGGCCTTCTGCTGACGACGCTTGACGGGCGCAACAGGAACAATTTAGGCCGTAATTAGGTGTCTGCCAGAAACTGAATATGGTGAAAGATTTTTAATTGCTATCTAATGAGCTGCCATGCACGCTGACGCGTGCTGCTGTCCATGGGCGAGTCGTTCATTAGCTAAGTTTAGTGAGATGTGCCATAAACATAAACATAAATCAGTGCAGCGAGTTTTTGAGGCCTTTGGCAGCTAATTGACTTGATGTGTGTTTGCCTTACGTATTGCAGAAAGCTGTCAGGGACCACACGAGAAGCGCTTACTCAATCACCTGCTCTCCACCTACAACACACTGGAGCGACCCGTTGCCAACGAATCGGAGCCCCTGGAGGTTAAGTTTGGACTAACGCTTCAGCAAATTATCGATGTGGTAAGTGGCGAAATTCCCAAGAGCGAGCGCAAGCAACCAGACTACGTGTCTGAATTCAGAAATAACCATAACCAACTTGAATAATTATAAAAGAAAAAGAAAAAGAAACAAAACAAACGGAATGGGGACTACATGAAGTTTTTTTTTTATACCCCGATTTTTAAATCAAGTGTGGCCGTCGCGACGGTTTATTGGAATAGAATAAGATAACACATACATACATACATATATACATATATAGGACTTTAAAAAACGAAAAAAAAAAAAAGCATTTGTGGTTATTGTGGTAAGTGAGTGAGTGACATGTACCCGCCGTTCGAATCTCTATCAAACATTTCGTTAAGCTTTTTGCTTTAGCAAATAAATGTGGAATTTTCTAATATGTATATTGATTATTGGCATATATCTATGCAATTTGTTTGTTATTATTGGGACAAAAAAAAAAAAAACATATCAGCGATAAAAAAACAATTGGAAAAGGTTATATATATATATATATATATATATATATATATATATATATATATATATATATATATATATATATATATATATATATATATATATATAATTTTTACAAGGGACTTAGCCTATAAAATTCATACAAAATATTATTTAAAATAAATTTTTATTTAATATTTATAAAATAATTTTAATTTCATGTATAATCCTTTTATTTTTACGAAAAGAATCGTAGGACTTCCGTAATATTTACTCTACTGTTTTAAATATATTCTCTTTGATAAATTCAACATATATTTAAGCAGTTTGGACATGCCGCGACGGTATCTCAATTTTTGTCTTAAAAAAAAAAAAAAAAAAAAAAAAAAAAAAAAATCTGAAACATTTTTCAATAATGAGTTCTTGCGTTTTTTATAGGACGAAAAGAATCAGATTCTGACCACAAATGCGTGGTTAAATTTGGTAAGTGACATGTACCAGCCGTCAAATTTGTCTAGCACCTGTTTGTCTGCCTAGGGTCTTACGTTCGTACACAGTTTCAGTTTGATTTGCTTTGACTTATGATTTCTGATTTACAATGAGCAATAGTGAGTGACCAACAGTAAACACAAGCATATTTTATTTCGAATACATTTGCGTTTGTCTTTCGAAACCGTCTTTTATCAAATATGTGTTGTCTCGATATGTGTGTGGAAAGAACTATATACAAATATTATATTTAAAATCAACAGAAACTTATTTGCTGTAATACACCGTTCATATATACATATATATATTGTTGTTAGTGCAAATCTGCAGTCACTTTAATTAAAAGCAAACGATAATAAAAATAATCAAAGCTAAAACGAACCCAAATACTAAAAAATAAATAAATATCTAACAAACCAGCTCGCATCTTAAAATTGAAACTCTGCTAGCCTGCTTGAGCCATAAACAATATTTGATTTATAGGCTTCTCCGCTTGCCCATATTGCATATGCATTCAAGGGCCTTGTTAAATTGGCATAAATTGCCAGAGAGCACTCCACTCATAAGCCCAAACAAATAAATCAAGTGAGAAGATGTGCGAGAGTCTTCAGTGCCCCAGCTTATACCACGTATATGGCCACATGTTGATGAGCTCCAATATTGGGCTCTAACTAGCCAGGGACTAAGTCCGAAAATAGTCCTGGACTCTATTCATTTGTATTTTATTTTTAGATTAACCAGCATCGCGTCTTTAGATAAAAAGAAATCAGCTTAGTCGATCGAAAATCGGCAGACATCTGGCTTATTGCGAGACCTACAACCTGCAACCCACCTACAGGGTATTCATGCGCACAAAAATAAAATTGATGTACCAATACTTTTACGGTCTGATTGTGGCATCACCTGAAACAGAGTGCGATTGATCGAATAAAAAATAAAATTGAACCCTTTTCAATAAAAATTAATAGAGCATTTTTTCTGCAAGATTTATGACAGCAACAAATAATTTCCCATTTTTGCAGAGCTGATTTTGAATGCCTTTATTTTGGTTGTGCTTAGAAACTGAAACCTGAAAAACTAATAACAATAAATGCTGACAAAGAGCTAAAATGAAAAACGTGATTAAATCAAAACTGCATCATTGTTGCATATGCACAAAGCAAAAAAAAAAAAAAAAATAAACAAAACAAACAACTTTTAACTAAAACAATTATTAATAAAAACCATTATAGCAGCGTGTCTAGGCGTTTTTTATTGACGTTGTCTTTGTGTGATTTACATATAAATATCTATATATATGGTTTTTTAAATGTGTCTACCTATACATTACTTGACTTTTTTCATTTCAATAAATGTTTTTACCCACGCGACATTGTTTGCCATTTGGGGTTTTTTTTTTTTTTTTTTTTTTTTTTTTTGGTTTTGGTCTGTTGTGCCACATGTTTTCTCACACAAATTAAATTAACACATGAAAATCCAATTTAATTAAATGACAGTCTGAATTAAAAAATCAGTAATTATATGCACATATGTGCATATGTATAGTATATATACTGAAATATATGTATGTATATGTAATTCAATGCGCTTAAAGTGTTGTTAGCCTGCGGCAGAAGTGATGAAAATATTTATGCATTTATTTTAAAAAATAACACTCAATCTATTACAGAATATTACGTTAATGAAACGTGCTCGGCTTTAATGAATTTTTGTAATTATATTTAAATTGGCTTTCAAAAATAATTTGAAAACAAAAAATAAAAATAATTGTTATGCAATAGACGTAAATCCAAAATATTTCTTTAGAATTTTTATAATAAGGGGTTAAAATCTCTAAAGATAGACTTTCAAAATTTAGAACAATTTACTGCTAACAAATATTATATATATATATATATTCGTGGAATTCAATGAATTATATAACAATAGGGTTTGATACGAATATCAAGTTGGGGGTTTCTTAACCAAGAAGTTGACTTTAATTTAACAAACTCTCTGAATCCAAGCGTATAAACAAAACTTTGATGTTATATCTGAAGCAGCTAGTATATGTCCTTCAGCAAGCCTGTTTTGACAGAGGATACCGTAAGATTTCTGCTGAAGTGACAAAAGTCTTGTCGTTATTTAAGACTCTAACTAGTAACCTGCTTACGAAATTCTAAACTCTAGCTCAAATGTCTAGCCAACAGCCAGTTATGATCAGCCTGTTATTATTCTCAAATAATTAATTGATACCATTTGCTATAGAATTTTTGATTTGTAGCTTAGTTTTATTAAATCCCATTAGGGCGAACGACGCTTGGTATGACAGTAAATGCTTCGCTCTCGAGTTGATTGCTCACAAATAATGTAGAAAAGGATAATTTAGGGATTACACAGATATATATGCCAGTCGAGTGCTTGGAAAGCAGACAAACAACTTGTGTTAAGCGCATTAGAGACGGAGTAAACCTTTACATTAAATACGCATTTAATTTCAAATTAATTATCATAAACGCTACTGCAAAACCTCGTGTTAATTTAGACAAATTCCATATTTTCGTGCGTGTGTATGTGTGTGTATGTATGTATTTACTAACCAAATCAACTACTACAAATGTATCAATTGCAGATTATGTTTGAACTATTTAATTATTGCTGGGTACATGTCATAAAACGTTTACGAACAACTGAGTAAAAGACAACAAGAAAATGTTTAAATCAATCAATATAAGAAGAAGCCATGCATGTTGCTTAAAAATATAAACTAAACTAAACTCGAATCTAACTAAACTTCTAAACTAGGCATACTCTCTTATATCCAAAAACAAACAATACCTAAAAACCGAAGAGAAACTGTTCCTTGATCGATTTGGCTTTAATGTGTGCAGCAAGAAATTTTAATTAATGCAGCTAAATTAATTTATTTATTTCACGCATAGGCATTTGCATTTTGATAGCCACACAGTTGATTTATGCACTGAATTGCGATTGATGCATTGATAGAAAAGCCGCAACGCGCGTTTTGTTCATTTCCAAACACCATTAATTATTTACCCCAACTGCAGCCTTATGAATTTTTAGCCCTGACATTTTCACCTTTCACCCTGGCCGCATTGTCAATTACGCTAATTAGTTTACAAATAATTAATAGCTTACCCTCGCCCAAGCCGCTGCATATGGAGCTGCTCGAACTCACCGACTAAGCAAATGAGCTAACTAAAATGATTATCAACAAATATCTCACATACAGGAAACAAGCTTGTTTATAGTCCAAGAGCTTAAAGCTCGATGTGAACTATGCAGTCGCAGACCGAGTCTAAAGTAAAAGCTCACAAATACACTGACATTCGATACTAATATATGCAGCCTTTGAAAGTGATTCGAGAAGTCGAGAGTGATTTATCCCGGATTCGAAATTATGATAAATATATGCATATACAGTATAAGTCCTAGATAGCTTCAATTAATTGTCCACATAGAAATGAGTTTGAATTTTCGCCATACATACATATATGTTTAATTTGGCATACTATATGAAAGACAACAAAAACAGAAAACCACTGGAAAAAGCATTTCAAGTGTCCATGGTCTCTCGCCACGTGCTCAGTGGCTGCCAAGGTTTTTGCTTGATCTCCTCTTTTTTCTATCAACTTTTCCCATGTTGCTTGATGATGATGATGCTGATGCTGATGGTGATGGTGCCTTAAACATCGGTGGCCCAGGCATGTCAGTCAGCCAGTCGGTCATACGTCCATCCGTCCAGATGCAACCAGACACCAGGAGGAGCACATGGTAAAGTGTCATTGGCAAAATTACAGCTGTACGTTCCGAGGCGTACGTGAGGCGGTCTTGAACTCTCAAGTGTCAGAGGCCACCTCTTTGGCATGCCATTAAAATGCACATTGTGTGCGGCTGAACAGCCGAGAAGCCGAGAAGGGAACAGGCGCAGTGCAGGCAACATCAAAATTTAAGAAATAAAGTCATTAGCATTTTTCGCCTAACACCAGGAGCATTAACTAACCTCGCTCTCTCTCCCCCTCTCTCTCGCTCTCTGTCTCTCTCTCACTTGCACTCCTTGGTCTTAATAAGTTGCCACACAAAAGCCCAGCAAATGACTGGCCATAGAAATGTGTCAAAAGGAAATGTCTAAGGGTATTCAAGGCATGAGCAAGCCTCAAGTGCAACGAGCACTAGAAAGGTCCTTAAGCTGCTAATAGCAGCTAGTTAGCTTAGTAGCCAATGTCAAAGGCTTACGGCGCAACACTGCAAAAACAAAGTCTGGGCCCACAGAGGAGGGGGAGCTGTATAATAAATACATTGGTTTATTTGAAAATATATTATTCAATAGGCTAGAAATTGTTCCCTGAATTGCTGATTTTATGCTATCTTTAAAAACTGATCACATTTTTTGGCTGTTAACTTTTGAAGCTCTACCTTTGCTACATATGTATGTTTCGAACGTGCATTAAATATAATGGCTATTATTTTGTTTTTCGCTTGCAGAGCTTATTACAGCAAGCCCTTAGCTTAATTCCAATTTTATGAACGTTTGCTACACAACATGCAACAATTTGGGGCAGAGCCAAACTGCGCGCACTTATCACACACTTATTTGCCGTGGCATTAGCAGCGGCGGGTGGGACAGCGGATAGCAGCTGCCAAGGCTAACAAACTTTGTCCTTGAACAGTTTCAGTTCGCACAGAGACCAGACATGTGTAGGTAGGCGTGTAGTAAACCCCATTCATAAGCAAGTTTTCAGGCAACATTTATCATGAAAGACGGTGGCTAAGCATATGTACATATATATATTTATACCGATATATGTATACATATATATATGTTCCAGTTGGATCTGGCTGCTGGGGCAATTGTTGGCTCATTAGAAACTCATTTAAAAACAATTTGGCACGTTAATGCAAAATAAATCTATAAGCTTATGCAGGCAATGACAACGTGCTCGACGAGCTGCGACATTAAACTCCATGACAACTTTCACTAAAGCTTACATTAT